ATATCGTGGCTAGGGATGTCATCGAACATCCGGGACCGTGGAACAACCCCCGCACAAGAGCGCGCGCCGGGCCGGATGACTACACCCGGGAAAGGGTGAGGGATCACAGAACTGACAATGTCTCACGCAGTTTTATAACTTAATATGTAATACGAGAGCTACCGGCAAAGTTGAGCCTTCCCCGGCGGTGAATCTAAAGATAAAAAGTAAAATTTGTGCCCTTTCTCTTATCAACTCAACAGGCCTGGGCACGGCATCGCGGATCCCTACACTCAGCCTCACACAATAACTTTAACATCTCACCAACCTGATTCCGTGAAGAGCGACATGGGCACTTCTGTGATCTGGGTTATCATAAATTATTGGCATGATACCCAAGGTTAGGGTTAAGAGAAAAATCGCCTCGTAAAGGGGTGATACAGTAAGTATTCCAAGGAAAAACAGGGCCATTCCATAGCGAAAACACTCATACAAAGAACGACCGTCCTATAAAGGGCAGTGCGCTCGTACGGCACTTGAGTACAGTACACGCTCTTCCCCTATTGTGGACCAATATGCAGCACAAACCTATGATAGCGCCAAATGTAACGGATGTCGGGTCTACCCGCACCCGTACCCTACCCGAGAAGCAACGGGAGCGGGAACTAGCCTTCAAAGGATTAACCTCATGTACAAGCTTGGCATGTGCAGATGCTAATCCTGGTAGGGTATAGTACCGTAAAATCTCGTGAAAATCCACTATTTCCGGCTGCCCGGTATTCCACTATAGGTTTAGTTTGGCATGTTAACAGGATTGCTAATACCGGTTAGCGAGATCCAACATCCGGCCCGCCGATCTTTTCCTCTACGGTATGACACACCAGGAAACCGCTGCGAGTAGTCCTGCAGCTGGGGCTGACTGAGATAGTGGACTCCACGAGATGTCCCGGTGCTCGAGTGCGGTACTGTACCCTTTCCTACAGTACAACCCACACCGTGAACGAGCGAATACCAACACCGAATGGACCCGCAATCGCAGTTAAAAAATCCCGTCGGGTACCGTACATTATTCTCTCTAAAGGTTCACCCTCTAATATACCCAGAAGAAGAAAAGGAAAAAAGACCAAATACCAATTGACCGCCCCTAGGAGAGCCTACCCGAGCACAAAATAAATATATAATACGGATGTCCGATACGGTTCTCTGCAAAAGAATAGAAGGGAATACAATTTCCATACTAGTAGAATTCCCACAACAACATTTTCAACAGCTCAACATCAAGGCAGATAAAAGTACTATGGCAAATTGTTCCGTACGACATGAGTTTTTACACAAAATATGCCGAAAAATCAACATCTTCAGAGCCAGAACATCCACCACTGCTTTATTAAAGACAATCAAATTTTTGATATTTGGTAGGAAATCACTTAGGCCTCATCCTCATAGGAGCATGGATAGAAAGTGGTGAGATTGAGTCAATGGCTTACAATGGTATCACCAAGTCTAAAAGTGACTTAATATTTTGTATGGGGTTCCATAGAAAAAAGTATATGGCAACCACATACTATGCACGTACCTCATGTTATCTCCATGATTTTACAGGCTTTGAGAGTTCTGCAAGGTTTCATATGTTATCCTGGGTTTTTACAATGCTACCATGAGATTTTGGTAGATTTTTATAGACATCGATGGTGCCTAAGGGGGTGGTAAAGGTGCATGCTTTTGGTGTAAAAAGGGCATCGTACGAAACAAACTGACCTGGTACTCTATTCCGGCGAATGCCTGCCATGAGCTGTGAAAAAAACATTTGCCAAGTTTATGTGTTCACTACATATCTTCCAAATCCGGGGAAGTCGGGAACTGGCGCCGTTTGGCCTTCGGGAGATTCTAATTCTAATTCAAGGGGGTTTTCCATAAACGCTTCGACCATGGGGCGCGATATGTTCCTCTATAGCTAAAGTCTAGAGTTTGGAGAGGAATGATACCAGTTCAGAAATTCCGATCAGGGACCGGTTCTAACGCCAATCCCGGTCAAAATGCATCCTCTTTCGAATCGACGCCCCCTAACATTGCCTTGTCGAAAACAATTGGAACCCCGATATCTCCTGGAAAATGGTTTAAAATTGAACTCACTGTTTGCAATTGTTTCAACTAGTGTGAGAGTGACTCAGGATCTCGTATGATACGGGGCCCCCTAGGGAAAAGCGACACTGGACCAAAAAACCTCTGCCGCCCACACAACCCGCATTTCCTCCGTGGCTTTACAACCCACTAGCGGTCTGTAAGGTCCAATTCAAAGTACCACCGCCCACGATTTCGGCAGTACGATATAATGTGAGATTTTGTAACCCTTAGAAGTATTGAGGTTCTCCGAGCTAGGGGTGAAAATGATCGCTTTCAATACCAAAAGGCCATTAGACCAAACCCCTTGATCTAGAACTATACCAGGGGCACTCAAATAATGGCACCTTACCCTCCATCACTCCGGTGCCTTCAACTGTTCTATGGAAAACAGGAGGACAATCTGGGTAACAGCATAGGGTGATCGAACGCAACTTCCGGTGCGACTCGTTAACTTTGTTAGCCATTCTCCCGCGTTTTAATACCCCCCCCCACCGCAGTATACAAATCGACAAACGGTAGGATAAATCTAGGTGGGGGGGCGGTAAGAACTTTTTTACTTTTTTTATCCACGAGATGCTCATTTGTAGGCCAAGGAGATTACTCGAAATCATTGAGGATTCATTAGATTCTCCGTTCATGGGCATTCTATCATAATTATCAAGCCTGGCCATCCCTGTTATCCTCTGAGAGGCGCAGCACAGAAATTGTGCCAATATTTGGGCTAAGACTTATGGAGTTTGTTGCCCGAACTCCGGCAGCCAGCGGTAACATAAAGAAAGATGAATAATAAACTTGAAATCACAATGCCCCATGTGGCCCGCCTATCCCACCTATCTTACTTTTGTCAACTATTTGTGGGTTCTGTCAAGCAAAACATTACCACGCATCACCACTCATCACCTCCTCCGTTGATAGGGGTCGCTGTTGTGAAAGTAGGGATTTTAAAAGAGCAGATTTTGTCAAAAAGAGATCGCACACCATAGTTTATTTCAGTCAGAGCTGGTGGCTTATATACTACATAGATATAGCAGTCACTCGGCACAGTCCACTAAAAGATTAGGTGGACTGGAGTTCAGGCCAAGTATGCCGGTGAACACATTATTCCATCATCCCCTGAATCCATACCACAAAGCCGACGAGCATGATCTTGTGAAGTCACCTTTTCCAACAGTCGCTGGCTATAGTTATGGTCAGTGCTGACTAATACGTCGAGCCCGGTTGCCCCGCCCCCATTCTACTGGCATCCCACTAGCCTTCCTCAGGGAATCTATCACAGTAAATATCATCGCCGTAAGTGAGATTACATGAATCCGTGAACCCAAGCCAGCCACCCCGGCCCCGACACCTAGGACTTTTACTCCCGATCAGCCTTGAATTATTCACCGATGGCCCGAACAGCGAGTGGTAACAATGAGGATCCCCCACCTCCTTGGGGAATGATTAACCGAACGGGAATGTTGGCGGCAATCAGCGAGGGATATAGCCGAAACATGCGACCTTCACTGAGAGTACACCTGGGGAAATCTATTCCTTGATTCACTATCTTCCTTCCTGTTATAAGGCCTCGCGGTTGAACCGATAACCCGGGAGACCTCCGTGGTATAATAGATCGGCTAAAGCGGGAGTGAACTACCTCACGGAACTCTATTGGAAATGCTAACTGTGTCCAAGAGCAGTCAGTCATATGTCCCCCACAGTGGATGATGCTACCCGCAGACACGAATCTAGCATCGAAGATTGGATCTTTGTTTCACACCCGATGGCCTAGATAAGCCCGTCTTAGCAATGGCGGAGATTAAGGTTAGAGCAACCGGAAAGAGTTACATCTCTTTGCTTACCACTTGAGCACGGACGAGTCCCTAGAGTACCTATCGACTCAAGGAAAAAATTTGAAACCCCGGGGATCTCGGAATTCCAGGTGGATCGTGAATGTAAGTTAGTAAATATCGCTTTCCAGCAACTAGCCATTCCACTTCTTCGCCAACTTGCCAATTCCAGAACTCCACACTGAACCTGCGCAAGTGCAAGCCGTCCCAAAGGGGGTACCCCTATTGTGGACAGTGCAGAAACGAGAGGAGAGCACCCACCGATATCAGGGCTTGCTAGAAAATGCATGAGAATATAACCCTCCCTAAAGAAAACTCGTAGAAGTTCTATTATACCGTACGGGACTTTTTTTCCTTCTTTCTTCTTATTCAGAGATGCATCTCCCAACCACGCAACTCCTCTCCCGAACTCTCGAACAAGTACGATATAGTGAAAGTGAACAGAAGCTATGAAACCGTGCACGCAATCCCTAATTCAACGCCGACCGCGAATACGCACAAAACACCACACTTTATCTCCAAAGACAAGCACCACACAGAACACCCTATTGCAAAAGGAAAGTGAAGCCCATGCACTGCACAAGGTACAATAGTATCCCCCCGCAATATGGCATGCTGACACCCGTTACTCCCCGCCGCACACATAGGTGCAGACCCGCTCACGTATACCCCAATATACCATAAACCTACTCACCACAACTAGTATGACACCCACCGTTCCAGCATGCGCACATCGCCACGCACCGGGTGGCCAAATACCGGGCAATTCCACCAACGTTAACGTCGCTAGCCGGCCAACGTGCTGAGTATGCAGCGACGCCACTCGGCTTTGCCAGAAAGCTTATCGTGGGAATTTACCTTTCCAGAGTCGATGGTGGCGTCGTCTACCGCGAGGGATGGAAAATTTAACTCTGTGCCGTGCCGATCATGAGCTTCAGTGTTAATGATTATGCGAGTGATCTTCAGTGATGGGCCCGGGTGGGAACGCCTCATCTGTTCCTTGGCATATCATAAGCGAATCGGCAAGGTCACGTGACATCTCACGATGCGATACCATATTTTTATAATTCCCAACCACATCCAAGTTAATCCAATTGAGTCACTAACTAACCGAGTCAATCCCGAACGAGAAAAGGGAATCAATCGTCCCGAGGAGGCATCCCCCGCTTCCCTTACGCGAAATCCGTGCTGGAGCTAACCTCCCCCCAGCTCTTCACCAAATCCGCCTGATCCCTGGCAAACTTCTGAATCGTTGACACAGCATCGCTCCCGAGTGCGAGCACAAGTGGAACCTCCCTCCCCTGCGCGATTCCAGTCTGTGTGAGTACCTCATAGATGACTTCTGCACCCTTCTTCGGATTCCCCGATTGTTTGCCGTGCGCGCCGCGGAACAAAGCGTCGGTGGTCTCATTCATCTCGCGGTAGTCCTCAATGCGCTTATCGTCGCTGGTCTTGATGAAGTTCACATTCGGGTCGAGGAGTTCCGTGCGGAACATGCCCGGCTCGATGGTGGTCGTTTTTATACCGAAACGCGCGAGTTCGGAGTCGAGGCCGTCGCCAATGAGTCGGAGGGCGGCTTTGCTGGCATCGTAGAGGTTGCAGGCTGGTACTGGGAACCAGGAGGCCATGCTGCCGATGTTGGCGATCACACCGCTGCGTCGGGAGCGCATGTGCGGGAGGAGGGCGCGGATAATGGAGGTGGGGCCGAAGACGTTTGCTTGGAACTGGCGCTTGAGTTCTTCATCGCTGGATTTTATCATGTCAGCACCATGGAAAGAATCTTTAGGTTTGGAATTCCCACGTTGTCTCCTCGATTGTTCCAGTGTGCACGTACGCGGCGTTATTGACGAGGATATCGATGCGGCCGTAAACCGCGAGGGCTTCCTCGACCTCTTTTCGGATGGTAGCGTCGTCCTGGTTCTGGTCTATCTTGACGGCCCTGGCGCCGGCCTTTGTAAGTTGTGTCAGGCGGGACGGGTTGCGAGAGCTAGCCACTACTAGGTCGCCGCGTGCGAGGGCTTCCAAGGCAATATTCTCACCGATACCAGAGGTGGTACCGGTGACGAGCCAGACACGTTTTTGACTTGACATTCTGGGTTTCTACGCGAGCCATTAGCTAAGGTTGGCTAAAGCCCTGAGCAAGCGATATCAGAAGCAACTCACGGAGGGTTTCCGGAAAAAAAAATTCAATCTTTCCAAAGTATTTGTTCCGTAATCAGGGTGCTTTCTCAGCCGAAGTTGCAGCAGTAGCTAATGTGGACGACTCCATATCCTCCGCCCAACCCGCGCCCTTATATACCCATCTCCCGCCCCCCCTTCCCTCCTCAAACCCTCGATGTTCACCTCTACTACATCTACTCATCGCATCGAATTGGCAACGACGCCAGCCGCAAAAGAGGGTGGCCAACTGCCGTTTCCCCATCCTTTAGTAAAATTAGTCATTAGCTCTTTGTATACACTAGTATGAGCACCTTAAAGGGAGGAGGGATGCTGTTCGCACTTTCTCCTATCGCCGAAATTTACTCGGACACTTTCTCGGCGGTACCGGTAGTTGGGGATCAGCGGGGCCACGCCCCGCAGCCCGTCGATCAGGGTATTTTTTTGGGTTTAGCGACGCATGGTGCTTCCGCTTGTGGGGATGACATCGGAAGTGTGAGTACCGGTACGAGTACATCAGTCGGGAGGGAGACAAGGGGTTCGGAAAAACGCTTCGGCAGGGCACGACACCTACCAGGATCGGATAACTTTTAGGTTTAGCGGAAGGGATGGGTGTTTCTGATAACGATCTGCAAGCTACAAGGGTTGATGGGAACAACCGTTGTACTCGAGTACTCGAGTACTCAGCTGCTAACCTCACCGCCAATCCCGGTTATCCGCTTGAGAGTCCGGAAACAGAGATCGCAACGTTATGGAACGATCACTTCGCACCGGAAGTCGGCAGGTCGAGTCATCCTGCCCCTTGCGCTCTATGGCATTCGGAGAAACCGGTGTGGAAATATTGAATCAGGGAATGGTAACGGAATTTGTCGACCCGAGCGCTCCAGGCATCGAAAAAAGAAAAGAAAAAAAATGGCCCATTTAAAGTTCCTAAGGCCCCTCTAAACAACCTTTATTTCTAGTTTTTCTTCTATGCCAGCAGACGGCACGCTGGAGATTCAGGCAATAGAAAGGCATCTCGAAAATGTCAATCTTTGGGCAAGTTACCGGTACCGGTATAGGGTTTAAAGCCGGTGCACCAGAATCACCTACTCAGGTATTTGCTATTAATGTTGCCAAGAGGAAGGTTAATTATTCCGAGGAGGCGGAGTTATCTACAATTAATAGCAGATGACCAAACAACTTGTATTACTAAGCACTGCAGACAGTATGATATCATACCTGGTCTCAGGTTTGCCTCACCTCACCATACAGGTAATCACGATAACGATAACAATACTAGCGCGATAAGATATCCTAATCCCAACCCGACACCAACAATACAGGACCTCGGCAATCACCAAACCGTCAATGAATATCCTCCCAACGAAACCACCACCACCCTGCCACCAACCGCTACTTAACCAACCCCATCCGAGTACTACTATACGAGTACTGGTGCCTAAAAAATCACAGAGGACCCAATCAAACACTCAACTCCCACCCTCACCTACCCCCTCCTCCCGTACGCTCCCCGTTGTTGATCACGAGATTCGCCCCGGCCTTCATGGGACTTTGACTCATGTCCAAGCCCAGCCGAGCACAAGTACCGAGCATCCCCCTCCATAGCAGCATACAAGCGCTAGTCCACCTACGAGAACGGTGCCGGAGCCCCGCTTTCGAGTTCTGGCGAACACGATTCTCCACGGAATTGCCCACCGCAGGCTAGGTTCGCGAGGGATATATTGGAGTGATATCCGGTAATCCCGCGCTCTATACTCCACCCTGTCATAGGAGCGATGTCTACTTGCCCTTTCCCAAATTACACACCAGCCCGGGCTCCGGAATTGGGGGATCCGAGTTTGGTCGGGGGAGGAGATTCGATAGAGTAGGCGGTGGGCTTATCCTGCGCGGGACCCCACACCGATTTGATAATGGACGTGCCCCGGCACCAGGGGAGTCCTGACGCCTGGGACTTTCATGACTTTATCTGCGGTGGTGGTCTTCTCGTGTGAATAGGCTGGAGCTGGAGTCTGCCCCAATCTTCGCGCGTCCCGCAATGTTACCAGTGCAGCCAAAATTCGAGTTCCATAGCCTAAGCTAGAGAATGCAGCAGTGATATTATTATTGTATTATTGCTATTATTACTATTCTCCTTCTTCTAACTCCTCACACTAGCATTCCTATCCCTCCAGCATATGTGCCAGAGCTCGATTCCACGAGAATTCCGATCAAGGAAGCCCGAAACGAACACGACATACGCGCACCCCTGGAGCCCGACCCTCGTACCTGGCGTTATCTTTTAGCATTACTAATTCCCTGCAGCGGAGTACTGTACTGTACGAGCAGGCGTAGATCCGTCCGATGACATGCTGGACGTTTCCAAGCAAGAAAGCCCCGGCCGCCAGGCAACAGCGCGAAACCGATCGGTAGCTTACTATACTCAACCTATGAGTAGGTACGATAAGCAGAACGCTGAGATTAAAGCCCATTACTAGCCGAGTCCTGAGAGGAGATCTTGTAGGTCAATTGGCAGTTGCCGTGCGTTTTTCTCCCCACACACACCTCGCTGCAAGAGCGGATATACTATTACCAATACCCGCTTATATCCGTAAACCCCACCTCCTCACAGTACATTTCCTAGAATTCCTCACATCGTAGAGGACCCCTAATACCGTACTCTCTCGATACCTCCCTTCCATATCATTCCCGCATCGGGAGTGCCAGGTATATGTACTTGGATGGCTATCAGTAGTAACGAGAAAACGGACTGAGACATCACCCATCCGATTGTACCAACGCGCTTAAGTCGATTGCCTATAAACGACCATAGGATAGAGGTACAGTAATCGTCAAACGCCCTGAACCCGCCCTCCTCCCCTCCACCCCACGCTTCCTCTTTGCTCCCAGCACTTCCAACATCCACTCACACATCCCCGCGCACGAAAGATTAAACCCTCGCCTCGGGAGTTTTTCCAGACTTTAAGCACAGCCAGCACTCTCGCGCTATCGTGGATAGATAAGCCAAGGACGCGCGAGCCACCGCAAAAAAGGGAATTATTTCCGCCCTCCCTTCTTTCTCCACCGGCGGATGGGCGGGGCGGGAGTGGGGCCCTGTAAAAAATAAAGTGGTGACCCAGTAGTGCATGCTCGGCCAACCTTGGCCCGTGGGCTGAGTACATTCGGAGAGGGTTTAGGATGGTCCCTCAGCTTCCCGAGATATTGCCTAGAAACGAGTGATGACACGTGAAGAATATGCTAGGGTAGTGGCATCAACCGCTGGCCAACCTGTGTAACGTGAGAGCATTCTCCGCAAAAAAAAAAATAGGGGAAATACTAGCTTCCCAGTGGGTCCACTGTACGCCAAGTTCTAGAAGAGGAAGGGCGTGAGGGTATGGCAGAGTGGGTGGACGTTAAGGCTGTCTATGCGATTATCCGGGGGTCCCGGTGCATCGTACTGGTATCACGCGTGGGGTCAGGCCGCCCCGGGCATGAACAGAGGGGTTAGGGACGCTGGTCCGGGTAAATGTCGAGGGATTGCTAATGGTGCTACTTGCCATACTAAAGCTTGAGCGATATGAAAGGTATCCACATTATGCCAACACATCAATTCCGGTGCAAAATGGACCCTGCAGTCTGTAATCTAATCAATTCAAAATGCTATATACAGCTCGCCACCATTGTAGAAGAATTTACATGAAATAAGAACGGAAATGGTAACCTCATTTTTAAGTCATTACCCAAACCTAGGAACAGAAGCATAGAAAAAGATGAAAACAAGTGAAGGAGAGGTATCACCACAAGAAGAAAGATTAAGCAGTGGTTCCAGCCGAGGCGACAGGATCTTCGTATTTGTCCCAATTAGCCAAAACCTGACCGATACGTGGGCTATTAGTCAACTTGTACACGTCCTCAAAGTACTCCTTAGTGAGTTGAAAAGGCTTCGCCGTCACGTTAGGGATATATTTCCCAACAAGCTTGCTGGGGTCAATCGAGGACTTCACAATCTTCTTCATGAGGAAGGATCTGAAGGGCTTGACTCCGCTGCGCAAGAATGTCGAGTGGAACGGGACGTCAATACCCCTGAGGGGGATGGTGGCGAGACCGCGTTGGAGTTCAACTGGTTTCGGCTTGGCTTCTGTTTGCTTAGCACATTCCCGGATAATCTCCACGAGTCTCTCCTTGACGTCCTCAAGGGACATCTTCGCCATGAGGGCCTGAATGTCAATTTTCTGCACCTTGAGGAAGTTGAGCACATTGGTGAGGCAGTCGAGAGCACGTAACTAGCGAAATGTTAATAAATGTGAAGCAAGAGAATGGTAGGAGACTCACATCACCGGCACAAACATATTGTTGGTTAATAACGTTGTAGTTAACAACTTCCAACAGCCATTTAGTTTCTTCAGCAATGTTATCAACAACATACTGAAGAGCTTGTTCATTGAAGGTTTTAGAAATACGACCAGGATTAACAGCAACCATGGAGTAGTTGCTTCTTCCCTCGGTATCGCGTTCGACGGCTACTTGCATAGTCAAGCCACGGTAGAAGACGACAGAGACCAAAGACTCAATTGGCATGACCTCGGCCAAAGCTGCAAGAGCAGAGTATTCGCCTAACGAATGTCCGGCGAAAACAGAATCGCGCTGGATCAAGCCGCGAGATCTCATATCTTCGAAGGAAGCCTTCTCCATAAGGGTAAGCGCGGGCTGGGTAAATTGGGTCGCCGACAAAAGGCCGGTGGGGGAGCGGTAAGTGTACGAGGTCGTTGTCTCTGTGACATCTTTGAAGATCTTTTCCGATTTTGTAGACCCATCCGCGCCGACGCTCTCAAAAGTCATCGACATGTAATTCTGCCTAATAGCTTTTCCACGCGGTCCGCCGAAATGAACAGTCAATTCCTTGGGGTTGTTTCTCACAATGTTTGTAATCGCAAAACCTGTGATACGGTTAGCATAGTGACATAGCATAGCAAGGAGAACATCTTACCATAATTGTCCATGAAATGTCTATCAGCCCTGTCCCAAACTTCCCTAGCCACAGGCGAAGAGTCGTACAGATCCATTCCCATACCTTGCTCCTGACTTCCTTGGCCGGTAAATACATAGGCGGATACGGGTTGCTCGACTTCGGCCTCTCCCACAAGCACCTTCTCTTGGGTTTCTTTGTTGGTGGCCTCGACTTTGATAATCTTTCTGCCGCTGACCATGCCGGCGTGATGCAATTTGGTCTCAATATCGTCATTCGGCAGCACCATACCGACAAAGCTACACGAAAAAGATCTAACTCTAGCAATGTTGTTCTCCGCAGCCCAAGTTTCAACAAGAGATCTCACTGCCGCAGATGAGAACATTCCATGAGTGATAGTTCCAGCAAGGTTAGCGTAACTAGAGAATGTTCGCGAAACGTGAATTGGATTGTAGTCGCCCGAGACACGAGCATATCCTTCGTTGCTAGCCGGGGCTCTGATAAGAAGTTCTGTTTTTGCGTTAAGCGGAATAGCATTGTCAAAGTTCACAGGCTGCTCGATGCTGGTTCCATGGCGTTGGAGATAGTCAATTACTGGGTTTCCATGACTCTGACCGGTAATGTATTGGACAGATGCAACCTGGATAACTTCCTTTGTAGGCAACTCAACCAACACTTGACCGAGGGTTTCAACGGAGCTGAAGACCTTCTCATCCTTAAATCGGATAAAGCTTGACAAGCGAAACGTAAGCGTCTTCCCTAAAAGTTCGGTATCAGGATCGTCGAGGTGGAACCACTCCTTTGAGCGAAGAACGGCGACATCTCTGCTCGAGGCCATATGCACTTGCATCGGCGTCTCGATCTTTCGCTGGAATGTGTTTTCATAGTCGGTGTAGGCCCCCCTGTATAAGAATTGTGAAGTAACCTCCATAATTGGCCGTCCATCCCTCGAGATGGTTCCACAGACCTCCACCATCTTCCCGGAGGTCTGGTTGAGAACGGCATTGATTTGAGCTTTCGTTTCAACAACATCATCCTTTCTCAAGGGCTCTGCACCGGGAAGCATGCGAAAGCTATTGGAAAGGTGAACCAGCTTGAGAAGATCACCGTCAATCGCCCTCGGAAAAATGGCTTTGGTGATGGCTTTCCATCCAACCACAATTGCAAAATCCATCGGTGCGTAGACAGTCTTCCCAGGTCGCTCAACGAAAGCCTCGCCATTGTTCCCAACCGCATGAACGAAATCGGCAATCGCCTGTCCCGTGACCTCCGCACGTCCGCCGTCGAACACATCAGTTACGGCCGCATCGAGGGGAGCCTCCTCGTCGCCAAACCAGAGACGACTGTAAAAAATCTTGATTCTATCATTCCTTCCCTCCATTACCTCGCGGATAGATGCAGAGCCAGTCTCGGGGTGATAGCGGAAGATGAGTGGCAAGGATGCGGGCTTCCCTAGTATGGTGCGCTCCTCAATAAGATCGATGAGGATCTCCTTCTTTTCCGACATCCTAATCTCGACAGTCTTAACGTAGCGACCGCCGGAGTGGCTCTGTTCCTTGACGGTAATGACGGTCTGAGCCGGATCTCTTGCGTTGGTAATTTCGACGGCCATGCCATGGGCGGGAGCGAATATACGTCTCATTGGATTGTCCTGGAATTTGTTGCCTTGAACAAAGACATCGCTGGTAAACAACGCATGCCTCCAGGAATATGTTTCGCCAGCAAGCAGCCTCAGCCAGGAGTCGGCTTCCGGAAGAGCACCCTGAGAGGCGGACGCCGAGAGTCTAAAGGTGGTCTTTCCACCCTCTTCAGAAACAGTTAATCCATCAACCTTATCAATATCGTCTAAAGGAGTGATCAGTTTGCCGCCAAAGTACTCAACAACAGGGATCGCGCTCTCGTCGCCGTCATAGACACCCTTTGTTAGTGCGGCGATATGTCCATTGTGGATTCCATCGAGGATATCCTTGATGGGCTCGTTGACTATGGTGGAGTACCTAGCGGCCATAGGCCCTTGAAGAATACAGGTCCTTCCAACATCCTGGCCAACAACAGCCTCGAGATCCTCAGATTGCCAAAGGGAATCCTTCTTGAACCAGAATTCGAAGTTCTCGTCGAGTGAAGGAACAAACGGCACAGGCTTCTGGCCACGCCGCTGGCACAGAAGAAGGAAATGCTGCATATCTTGTGCATTGATGAGTTGAGTGTTGGCCTCAGGGTAATGGGCCAGAATCTTTTCGGCAGTGGCAAAAGGATCATCCAAATCTGCGTAGTTTTGAAGCAGGGATGCCTGGCCCTCAATGGAGGTGAAGCGCTCCTCTATACGTCGAATGAAATCCCCAGTGAGACGCTTTAAAGAGGGATCGATCCAACGAGACTCATGTTTTACGTACATGAGTTCGATCATGCGACGGACAACCTCGGCATAGGTCATGTCTTCGAGATCCACGGCCTCCCCGTCAGAATTCCGACCAAACCAGGTCTTTTGAAAATCGGCATTCAGACGCTTGATTATGTAATCACGCTGCTTCTTAAGCTCGACTAGACGCTTGGCCTTGTCGAGCGAGAAGATCGTGCGATCCAATTCAGCCCTACCCGACCAGCAATTAGTTGAATATGTCCAGGCGACCAATCCCCAATGACACTCACCAAAGCTTGACACCACGGGTAGCAAGTTTGTGGATAGGCTCGCCCATCTCCGACAGGACCGTAATAACGCCGCCAGCAGGACCCTTATACGTCTTCTCCCAGTCCTTATCATGCAGTCCTTCCGCCTCACAGATTGCTTTCTTGGCCTAGGGCACAATGCTAATTAGAATAAGCCCGATTGTATGATTGATCAAGGGAACCCTACATTCAAGCTGGTGTGTGCCTCCTTTGCTGTCATCATTCTGCTTCCGAACAAAACACCGTCAAAAGGCATTGGAGGGTACTTAAACCTCTCGGACCAAGCTCCTGTCAAATAAGGATATGTATCTTCCGCCCCGCCAAAACCAGAGCCAGCAACGAGGGCAATGTTATCGCATCTCCGGATGCGTGCGTACATCTGAAGGATCGGCTGGTGGAAATCTTCAAAGGAGTGGTGACCACCGCCCCTTCCTCCTGTCCACTGCAGGACCACCGGGAAAGTTGGATTGGCCTTTGCAATATTGATGACTTGCTGAATGGCATCGATAGAACCAGGTTTAAAGGAGATGTGCTTCAACCCAATCGTCTCAATGTACTCGTTGGCAACCTCAATCGACGGTACCCCGGCACCAATGGTCAATCCTTCAATAGGAACACCTTCAGAACGAAGCTGTTGGAGAAGTGGGATCTGCCATCCCATAGCCCGGGGGTTCACATAGATAAGATTCACCGTGATGCCAGCGCCGGGGATGGTATTTCGTTCAATCTTCTGAAGAGCTGCGGTAAGACCTTTGGCGTTGTAATAACCACCACCTGCCAATCCGTGTTAGCATAGGATACGCAAAAGTCGAGAAAATGATATGGCATACCAGCTAACTCAATCTGATACCCGGCATTCATGGTAGCCGCGACAAAGTCCCAAGGCACAGTGCAAGGTGTCATGCCAGCAACCATTACAGGCGGCCGTCCAAGCAACCGAGAAAATTTGGTATCGACGAAGGTCTTCCCCTGCTTTGTTCGCACTAACTTAGGGCCATGCTCCTTCAGCCAGTTAACGGCATATTTGACCGCGTGCTCAGAATCTCTATCGAACAGCTCCGGTTTGTACCCGACCTCATTGTTTGTGCCTTCGAAAGCGCCAGCGATGATTATGCGTACGCCAGTGCCGTCCTTATTGCGGTGGGTCAGAACACCAAGTCCGGAAATGCCCCCGGGGCCAAAGTCAAGGATGTGGGTTGCCCCGGGGAAGACCGTCGCGGCTTCCCAGTGAACCGGCTGCTGAGTCACCATATTCACCAATTCGGAAATGATTGATTCATCACCCGAACCACCCCGGAGGTCCTGGCCGGTAGAGGTGTGGAAAACAGGGATTGCGAGATCCTTCCGGGTGAAGGTTTCTATCTCTTTCAAGTCCTCCAAAATGTTACCCGTTGCAGATTCGAGGTAAGGAGAGTGGAATGGGGCCGAGATGGGAAGGAAACGGTTCGTGAAACGAACCTTCCTCTCCGTGAAGGGAACACGATTCTGGTCCAATCCGGTGGGCGCTTTAACTTTCCTTAGACTAAGATTAAGGCCGTAAAGGGATTGGGGAGGGCCGGTCACGACAACGTTCCTGGCGCCATTAATCAAGGAGATATGGATATGCCTATCCTGAGGCAAATGCGTATTGGTAATATCGACGTGGTGCTGAACCTGCGCTTGGGACAGGTCTCGTACCGACAGCATGGGCGATGGAGTACCCTCGCCCTCATTAATCGAATCCTGTAGAGTGCTAGGAGCTAGTGAGGTGCGGGGATAGGTTTGTTGGGAACGGCAACCGATCCAAAAAAGGATGGTGAGAGTGTCGGATGTGATACGATGGAATGAATCCCAGGTCGACGCAGACGCAATCGCGGCCGCGGTAACGATACCTTGGGAATGACCAGTCGTACCCGCAAGCCCTTCTCGGAGCTCCCCGGGCTCTTTGGCAAGGATTTTGCACGTTACATAGTAGTGCGCTAGTTGAACCAGCCCAATCAAGGGGAAGGATACAGGAGCAGAAACTAGGTAAGTGAGATCAGGGGTGGATTCCTCATCCTGTAGCCATCTCATAACATCTAATCCCTTAGAATACACCTTGCCCGCACGGGGATCTCGAGAAAGCGAGGAAAGTAGCCGGGCGCAATAAACCAAAAAGTCTTCAACCAATCCGCCATAAACGTTGAAGATCTCCCGAAGCTCGTTAAAGTATTCTTCGATGTTTCCCTGCCCTCCAAAGACTGCATAAGCGCCGGCGGTTTTCTCAGTAGCAGCACGAAACAGAGCGGACTCGTGTGCCTTGATGGGCCGGGTGGCGGCTTGGCGAGCACTATAGTAAGATTTGACCACATCCAGCCTCTTGGCCGGAGTGCCGGGCAGTTGAGCGGCCACGGCGTGAACTTCATTACCCCGTAGAAAACGACCCTCGAATTCAGTCAGAACAAGCCGTAAAACATCCTCGTAGGTCCCCTGTGCGTCATCCTCCCCTTCCGTGACCTGCTGTGTCACAAACGCCAAAAATCGCGAAAGAAGCTCGGGGACCGATGATGGCTCCTCGTCGAGAACAAATTCGTCTGTAGGGTGTGGCAATTGAGACGCAAACCGCTGACGAAGCTCGGTCGCATGGTAATGAAGGGTGGTTGGGATAAGGAGGGCATGCTCAAGTGACCCATGATTGAGAACAAGTGGGCGGAGAGACGATGCAGAATGAGGGGTAGAGACCCCAGTGGTGGTTCCCGGTGCGCCGTACATGATGAAGATTGCCCGGCAAAGAGGAATTGTTTAAGAACGATGAGGATTCTTTACGACCGGTAATTAGCACAGCTCACCACGAATTGAGGGGGGGGGGTCGAATACAGTAGATGGCGGGGTAAGACCGAGGTGACGATGGGGAGAAACAAAAAAATAAAAAGACCGGACGAAAAACTCACAATCGAGATGAGTGAGGTCAACCGCAAGACGTGTTACCGTTTCGTAAGGAAAGAGCAAAGGCAGGAAAAATGAGAGAAGAAACCGGTAATGTATAGGAGGGAATTCTAGGGACAGCCCTAATCGGTGATGGGGGTGATCAAGGGGGATACCGGTAGCTTGAGGATGAAAGGATGATGGGGAAATGGGTAGTAGAAAAGGTGAGGGGCCGGTGGGGAGAAGAATTATGAATCAATCTGGTACGAGGGGGGGGGATTCGAAAAGGGGGGGTTCGGAGGTGTCCTAGTTCTACCGGTAGTAAAGTTTGGCACGTACCGGTATGGGCGGATGCGACTTTAAAATGCAAGGAAGAAAAGAGAGCTCTGTCGTGCCCTCTAGAACCATGAGTTGATAGCAGCTCAGGAATCAGAGGTGCGGCAAAAGAAAAGCAAAAGAACGCTTTTTTCCCTTCTCCCCTTGCTACTCACTTTCTCTAGCATTCCATCCCAATTTCCAATTTCCTTCCCAATCCCTTTTTTTTTGATTTCTTTTTTCTGGAGGGGCGTGAGCTCATCCCTGTCCAATGTGAGTTGCGGTAAAATGTTGAGAGCTCCTATGCCAAGACATCAGAGCGTTTCCATCCTTCCTGGGTTCGTTCCTGCCGCGCAAAAGTGTTCCTGGCTCGCGAGTTTTTCGCGCATCCTTGCAGCGGGCATCCTCCGTCAAACCAAAAGGGAATATCCCCCCCAACGAACCACTCATAATACAGCCGAACCCGGTTAGTCAAGGTACTAGTATCATGATCCGATCTTTTCCTCCCACGGAGCTTCTGCACTTTGAGCGGCTCTGCCCACCGCCCCTCGACCGAACCCGCAATAAAATCCTATTGATGTCTAATCACTCGGTTCAATCTTTGCCCCTCGGGTTGAGAATACGGGATGGGATTAGAAGCTGTGATCGAATATTAATCAGTTTTCAAAGCCTTGTTGAATTCTCTAATTCGCGGTGAACCAGAGGAAGCATTGAGCATGATACGAGAAAGCATCCGGTATCATACAGTATCTTTGCCTACGCAACAGTTTCAGGGAAAAGGCGTAGGGTCGTACTTGTTGGGATAGGGCCTCGTATAATTTTCCCTTATCGCCCACCATTGTGCGCGTACTGTACCTGTACTCGTACTGTACTCGCAGGAAGTGGACGTTCCCACTTCCCAACCCGGAATCGGACTCGGCACTATCGTGCCCGCTTATCTATCGCAGACAGGTGGAATATGTATCATACAGGGCCTCACTGTCTTTGAGTACGATACCGGTATGATATCCAGGAGCTGAGTCTATCATACCCGGATATACCGTAGCTTTGCACTTAAAAAGCCTTCTACGGCTGGGTGTACACCGACTTGCACCACATGATACGGTATCATTCTCTGTTACACTAGACGTCGGGTTCGAGATCTTACAGTGTCGTCGCTGCTATTAGGGACCTAAATGTGTGTTTCGGCCCTTTCGGGTACCCTCTACGAGTACCTGGCATGTTTGCTTGCTTCATTCACCACAAACTTTGCACACTCCAGGGAAAAGGCAAATGGTGACAGATTCCGGCACGCTGGTTCAGAGTACGGAAGGGGGAAATTATTGCGGTGAACTCAACCCTTTCAAATTACAGTGCGGTGGTAGAGCCCGGAAGTTCAAAGAACTTGAGTCGATATGATACTCACTCGAGTACTGGACCGGTAGTCTACTGTGCGAGTGAAGTACTAGTAGATGCAGCCTAAGTTGGCTCCCAACAGTTTTTTTTTTTCGGGAGCCCCGGTCAGTCAACGACTAGAAAGCTGTGGTCTGGTGGCTCGACCCCACCACCACTCCCCACCCACACCCACAATCAGCACCGCATCACCGTAACGATGTTCCTTTATCGTTCTCATACTCCAATAGGCATAGCTTGGTTATTATGTCATGCCCGGTACCTGCCCTAGAACCTTATTGGGCTTGCACCTTCTATACACAACGGGAGAGGGGCCTGTGTTGAGTGCGGAACAGTGGGAAGGGGCAGGTATTAAAATTGCTGTGCGCCACGACGAACCACAGGACATTCTTGCTGTGCGGTACTGTGCTCGCATCATACTGTGCACCTCTATACCCGCATTCTCCCACCACCGTCCCCCCCTCTCCTTCCCTCCTTCACGCCCCCGGTTATCCATCGTTCATCACCCTTCCTCCTCGCTCATCGTGCTCCTTCCGTCCCCTCATTCTTCATCCACCTCCTTGCTTCTGCAAACTCCCCTCTCCTCTCTTCCCCCTCTCGCACCCCAATCCTGCACCTCCCTTTGCATCCGTTAGAAATCCCCTACCACTACACCTTTCTTTGTTCGTCCAAAACTGCGCTCTCGGCCATTTTTTCGCATCGCAAGATCCCGCTTCGATAGCTTAATTTTCATCCCATTTCTCCTACCTCCATCACAACACCATTATGAGACCTGAACAGGAACAAGAATTGGCCTACACCCTAATGGTAGAGCTTTTGGCCTACCAATTCGCGAGCCCCGTGAGATGGTTTGAATCCCTACGCTTCCTGTTTCCTCATATTTGGTGATGCTCGCTAATTCCTCTGGTGCTCCAGGATCGAAACACAGGATGTTATTCTATCCCAGCATGCTGCCGAACGCTTAGTTGAAGTCGGTCCGTCGGATACTCTGGGTGGAATGGCCCGACGCACCCTAGCCGCCAAATACGAAGCCTATGATGCTGCCCAATCGCTTCAGCGTCAGATTCTTTGCTACAATAAAGATGCCAAAGAAATCTACTACGATGTTGAGCCCGTTGAGGAGGAAGAAGAGAGATCCGCAGAAGCTTCGCCAACCCCTTCCGCCCCTTCTGCACCTGCGGCAGGTACTGCTCCTGTAGCGGCAACCCTACCAGCTCCAACCGGTCCGGCGTCAGCGGTTGCAGATGAGCCAGTTCAAGCCGTAGACATTGTTCGATCTCTTATTGCCCAAAAATTGAAGAAACCACTTTCCGAAATCCCGTTATCAAAAGCTATTAAAGATCTGGTAAACGGAAAGAGTACACTGCAGAATGAGATTCTTGGAGGTCAAATTCCCTGCTGTCACCGTATTTCCCTCCTTTTTTTCTTTTCCGGTTGTGCTGACGGAGCGGAGGTTTATAGATTTACAAAAGGAGTTCGGAAACACCCCCGAAAAACCAGAAGACACACCTCTCGACGAACTGGGGGCCGCCATGCAGGCAACCTTCAACGGACAGCTCGGCAAGCAATCTAGCTCTATGATTGCCCGCATGATCTCTTCTAAGATGCCCGGCGGTTTTAATATCACCACGACGAGAAAGTATCTTACCGACCGCTACGGTCTGCAACCCGGCCGACAGGATGCCGCCTTGATGCTGGCTATAACAATGGAGCCTGCGGCAAGACTTGGGAGCGAGGGTGACGCAAAGGCATTTTTAGACGATGTTGTAACAAAGTACGCCGCTAGTACCGGGATATCACTCTCAGGTCCCGCTGCCGGAGGTGCTGCGGCTGGTGCTTCCGGTGGAATGATGATGGATCCTGCGGCAATTGATGCCTTGACCAAGGATCAACGAGCCCTTTTCAAACAGCAATTGGAACTACTCGCACGATATCTTAAAATGGATCTCCGATCAGGTGAAAAGGCTTTTGCGGGGTCACAAGAGGCCAACAAGCTTCTCCAGGCACAGATCGATTTGTGGAATGTTGAACACGGAGAAATCTACGCCTCCGGTATTGAACCATCCTTCTCCCCATTGAAAGTTAGAGTTTACGACTCGTCATGGAACTGGGCTCGACAAGATGCGCTCAACATGTACTTTGACATCATCTTCGGTCGCCTCAGGCTCGTGGATCGAGAAATTGTCTCGCAATGCATTCGAATCATGAACCGATCAAACCCCACCCTGGTGGAGTTCATGCAATATCATATCGACAATTGTCCTGCCGAGCGCGGCGAAACATATCGCCTGGCGAAGGATCTCGGTTATCAGCTTATCGCTAACTGCCAAGAGGTCCTTGGGACAGCTCCGGTGTACAAAGATGTTCAGTATCCAACCGCACCGCAGACCACAATTGATGCCAGGGGTAATATGAAGTATTCTGAAGTACCGCGACCGGCTGTTCGGAAACTTGAACATTATGTCAAAGAAATGGCTGCTGGGGGAAAGCTCACTGAATACGGTAATCGAACTAAAGTCCAGAACGATTTGGCCAAGGTCTACAAGATCATCAAGCAGCAACACAAACTTTCTAAATCGTCGCAGCTGGAAATCAAGACCCTCTATGCGAATATATTCCGTAGTTTGGCTATGAATGAAGCTCAGATGTTCGCAGAGGGTGCGAAGACAAACAAAAAACTGGGAGGCAAGAAGGCGCAGTCACCCGGAAAGGGCCGTGTCGAATGCATTCCATTCCTTCATTTGAAGAGAAAGGAAGATAATGGATGGGAATACTCCAAGAAGTTGACCGGATTGTATTTGGATTGTTTGGAGCAGGCCGCCCAGGTAAGCATTACTTACCTGGTTGAACTCCACAGCTCTGCTAACGGCTTTTCAGTCTGGTGTTACATTTGAGAATAAAAACGCTTTGATGACTGGCGCCGGTGCCGGGTCTATTGGAGCCGAGGTTCTGCAGGGTCTCATCAGCGGTGGTGCCAGAGTTGTCGTTACCACCAGTCGATTCTCACGCGAGGTAACGGAATATTACCAGGCGATGTACTCCAAATTTGGGTCACGTGGCTCTCAGTTGATTGTTGTACCATTCAACCAAGGTATGGACTTCGCACTAATGGTTCGCACCCCACAGCTAACGAATTCACAGGAAGCAAGCAGGATGTCGAAGCCCTCGTTAATTACATTTATGATGAGAAGAATGGCCTTGGTTGGGATCTCGACTATGTCGTTCCTTTCGCCGCTATCACTGAGAACGGCCGTGAGATTGATGGAATTGACTCCAAGTCAGAGCTTGCTCATCGTATCATGTTGACTAATTTGCTTCGTCTCCTTGGTATGGTTAAAACCAATAAAGCCTCCCGCGGTTTCGAAACACGCCCTGCTCAAGTTATCCTACCTCTATCTCCTAACCATGGTACATTCGGCAATGACGGTCTCTACTCCGAATCCAAATTGGCCCTGGAGGCGTTGTTCCAAAGATGGCATTCGGAGTCTTGGGGAAGTTACCTTACCATCTGTGGTGCTATCATCGGTTGGACCCGCGGTACCGGTCTTATGGCAGGGAATAACTCCATCGCTGAGGGTGTTGAGAAATTGGGTGTTCGCACATTTTCTCAGCCAGAGATGGCCTTCAATCTTCTTGGCCTTATGGCGCCTGCAATTGTCGATCTCTGCCAAATTGAACCTGTATTTGCCGATCTTAATGGTGGCTTCCAATATATCCCTAACCTAAAGAATGTTTCCGCACAGCTTAGGCGAAACCTCTTAGAAACTTGTGAAGTTCGTAAAGCTGTTACTGCGGAGACCTCTATAGAGCACAAGATCGTCAACGGCGAAATTTCGGAGAAGCTTTACAAAAAGGTTGCTATTCAACCCCGTGCCAACATGAAATTTGCCTTTCCCGAACTGCCCGATTACAAAAAGGAGATTGAGCCGCTCGCGCAAAACCTACGTGGCATGGTTGACCTTGAGAAGGTGGTGGTTGTTACCGGCTTTGCCGAAGTCGGTCCATGGGGTAACTCCCGCACTCGATGGGAGATGGAGGCATATGGCAAATTTTCCCTTGAGGGGTGTATTGAAATGGCCTGGATCATGGGTCTTATCAGGCATTTTAAGGGGCCTATTAAGGGTAACCAGTACGCTGGTTGGGTTGATGTCAAGACCGGCGAGCCCGTTGAGGACAAGGATATAAAGCCCAAGTACGAGAAATACATTCTGGAGCACTCCGGGATCCGACTCATCGAGAGTGATTTGTTCGGCGGCTACGATCCGAAGAAAAAGGAGCTTCTCCAGGAGGTTGTGATTGAACACGATCTGGAACAATTCGAGGCCAGCAAGGAGACGGCCGAGGAGTTCAAGAGACATCACGGCGATAAGGTCGAGATTTTTGAAATCACGGACACCGGCGAGTACACTGTTCGTGTCAAGAAGGGTGCTATCCTATTCATTCCAAAAGCCTTGAAGTTCGATCGTCTTGTGGCGGGCCAAATTCCCACTGGGTGGGATGCGAAGAAGTACGGAATTCCTGATGACATTATCAGTCAGGTTGATCCGGTCACTCTCTACCTCTTGGTGTGCGTTGTCGAATCACTCTTGGCCGCGGGCATTACCGACCCTTACGAATTCTACAAATATGTTCATTTATCGGAGGTCGGAAACTGCGTCGGCTCGGGCGTCGGTGGTATGACTGCACTCAGAGGTATGTACAAGGATAGGCATATGGACAAGCCTATCCAGAAAGACATTCTTCAGGAATCTTTCATCAATACCATGTCCGCATGGGTCAACATGTTGCTCCTTTCGTCTACCGGCCCTATAAAAACCCCTGTAGGCGCATGTGCCACGGCTGTTGAGTCGCTTGACATCGGTTATGAGACGATTGTCGAAGGCAAGGCGAGAGTGTGCTTTGTCGGTGGCTTCGATGACTTCCAGGAGGAAGGATCCTACGAATTTGCTAATATGAAGGCAACCAGCAATGCCGAGGAAGAGTTGTTGCACGGAAGAACCCCCCAAGAAATGTCCAGACCCACAACCACTACGCGTAGCGGCTTCATGGAATCCCAAGGGTGTGGTGTACAACTTGTCATGACCGCAAAACTTGCGTTGGAGATGGGTGTTCCTATCTACGGTGTTGTGGCTCTTACCGCTACCGCTACTGATAAGACCGGAAGGAGTATCCCAGCACCGGGGCAGGGTATCCTTACCACCGCGCGCGAGACTAGCAGCAAATTTCCTAGCCCACTCCTCGACATCAAGTACAGACGGAGACAGCTCGAGCTTCGAAAATCCCAGATCAAACAATGGACTGAGAGCGAGCTCCTCTACCTTCAGGAGGAGGTTACGGCTATGAAGGCCGAGAAGGTTGGCTTTGACGAAAACGAGTATATGCAGGACCGCGCCGGCCATATCGAGCAGGAATCGCAAAGGCAAGAGCGAGAAGCCCTCAATGCATGGGGCAACGACTTTTGGAAGCAGGATCCTCGGATTGCACCATTGAGAGGAGCCCTGGCCGTTTGGGGCTTAACCATTGATGACTTGGGCGTTGCTTCCTTCCACGGAACTAGTACCAAGGCCAACGATAAGAACGAGTCCGATGTCATTAACAAGATGATGATGCATCTTGGCCGGCAGAAGGGTAATGCTGTTCTCGGTATCTTCCAGAAATACCTCACCGGACATCCTAAGGGTGCCGCCGGCGCTTGGATGATGAACGGAGCGATACAGGTCTTGAACTCGGGCCTCGTTCCCGGTAATCGAAATGCTGACAACGTCGACAAAAGTCTTGAACAATTTGATTACCTCGTGTACCCAAGCCGTAGCATCCAAACAGACGGTATCAAGGCATTTTCGGTCACTTCGTTTGGTTTCGGACAGAAGGGCGCTCAAGCCATTGGCGTTCACCCCAAATATCTCTTCGCCACCTTGGACGAGCAAACCTACGAAACTTATCGTGCCAAGGTCAATTCCCGCTACAAGAAAGCCTACCGGTACTACCACACTTCCTTGGTGGAGAATAATCTGTTCCAGGCCAAGGCCGATGCTCCCTATACCCCAGATCAGGAATCCCAAGTCTTGCTTGACCCTCTCGCCCGTGTGCAAGCGGACAAAAAGACGAACAGTTATACTTATCCCGCCCAGATCCAGAAGAAGAGGCCTGATCCTTCGGTGGAGAACACTAGAAAACTTGTGGAGCATTTAGCATCAGCCACTGCCGGCGAAAATAGCAGGATTGGAGTTGACGTTGAGTTAATCTCCAGTATCAATATTGATAACGAGAACTTTATCGAACGGAATTTCACCCCAGCCGAGCAGGAGTACTGCCGAAAAGCCCCCAGTCCACAAGCCAGTTTCGCGGGTAGATGGAGTGCCAAAGAGAGCGTGTTCAAGGCGTTAGGTGTTTCCAGCAAGGGGGCCGGCGCTCCATTGAGGGACATTGAGATCCTCAGCGATGATAAGGGTGCGCCCGTTGTCTTGGTACGTGTATAGCCTTTTACTATTCAATCTTGTACTTTATCGCTAATTCATCTATAGTTGCACGGTGGTGCCAAAGAAGCAGCCGACAAGGCTGGTGTTAAGGGGGTTCAGGTATCGATCAGTCATAGCGATGCTCAGGCAATTGCCATTGCAGTTTCGAGTTTCTAAATGCATGGGCTTTCCTGATTGTGTTTTTTTCATTTTGTCTTGCTATCGCCTTTCCTAATTTATCATAATTTACGAATACCAGTGTATGTAATGATTCTCTTTGTACGGGATGCATGGGGCGGTAAACTTGTCAATGGGTATTCATCGGGGATATTAAAATAGAGCTCTTTTATCATACGCGTTTCGTAGTAATCAACAGATCAACAGTTTATCTGATGTCGCGCCGCTCCTGAATCTGTTACGATAAGCCGTGGGTGGCCACGGGCAGTGCTTAGGCAGCATTGTGCTATCATAGCACGGCCATGTCGAAGTCGGATTTTAGCATTCTAAGCACATGGCGGCACGGGTGGAGTGTTGGTGGGCCCGGCCCCGGTACTCTAGGCACCGATAGCGATACGGTACTCGAGTAGTGCCGGTACTAGTACAGTACGGTACACAGCACTGCAAGGGTGTCGCTCGGCAGGGCTTATTTAGTTCGTTGGCGCGGGTGCTGGAGAAAGAAAGAAAGCTTGATTCAACATCGCCGCTACGGCTGGAGAGACAGACGCCTTCGCATCCCTACCCCCCGGCTCAACACAAGTACAACACAATACGGCGTGTTTCTAGGCTCGCGGTCGCGCTGCTCCTACACCGCGCGCCACTCTTATTATGGGCCCATCGACCGTGTACCGTACCCGCACCACTCCACAGAAGCTATGGACATTGTACCGGAGAACGTCGTACAAACCCCTAGATGAATTTACCTACCGTGACCTTTCACTTTCCCCGCAATTCCAGATTCCCCCCGACCGACGGGGGCCTTAGGGTCCGGTAACCCAGCAATTGTGATTGGGTCACCACTGTGTATAGCTGAGGATCCCGGCCGACCACCGAATAGCTAGCTATCTTCAACCATATCCTCTCCATTGAAGACCTGGGAGTATCCTGCTAGCGCCGACGGGAGGGGAGGGGGCCGCGCTGTCCAGGGCGAAAAGGAAACGGATCATACGAGTGAAGAAAACTGTGGGGCAGCGGTACTCTTCCACCAAAAAACAGTGGTGTTCGGGGTAATCGTAAACTGATAAAAACCCATTTAAAAGCTAACGTATTGCATATATAAGAATAGCTTTAATCATCACTGGGAATCATCTGCATAGGTTTGGGGTGTCTTGGCCAAATATGTCTCAATCTATAACTACCGGAATTGAGATTACCGGAACCTTCACAACATCGCTCTAGAAGCTGGTTTTTCGGGTTGGCATCCCATGCCAAGGTGTCCGGATACTCTATATATGACCAAGTACTGTGGTGGAGTAATGAACGTTTTGGATGATACTATGGTGAGCATACCCACAATGGAGGTATTGAAGAGCGTATTACGGATGGGCCACGGCATGCTGGAGTAGGTGCTGTTTCCCGTCCGTCCTTCTTCCGGGGCTTTAGCTTACGCTATGATTCCTCGATGATAAAAAATAAAAACGAAAAGCGGAGGAATTTGTGCTGCACTCGGGGGGAGAGGGCGAGAAACTGGCTTTGGGAGAGTGTTCTGGACGCAGTCAATGTACTGTACTAAACGGGTTCTCAATATTGCTATCTCCGTAATTACTATCCTAGGTAGCCGTGACAGAAAACCCGATATGCTACCGGAGGTGTAACTCACAGCTCAGAGACATAACCGATATATCTGCCCGCTAACAGTGTGATGTCAGGGTTGGCAGGAGTTCGGACCGCCTAGGACTAGCCGGGCGTGATACTATCGATGGTTGTCCTCTAATGAATAGTTCTTGGTACGGTAAGATAGGGCTACTACGGTATCATCTGGTTCCAGAAGCCGTGGTGGGGGTGTAACCGCCACACGGAGTGGCTTTCATTCGGATACTGAATAATTTCTACATAGCTTTAAAATTCAAAATATTCCAGTAACGACCTTCTACTATTAAGGGAAGAAATCCAAAAAAAAATCAAAGTGGGGGTGGTTGCACACTTCCCGCCACGCCTTCCGCCACAGTAAATGCATCATGGCTATAGACGTGCTCACGGCCGCCCGAAGTGAACCACCACAGCGATGGTCATGCGTGCGGAGGAGAGTGATTGCGTCCACCTGTAGCCATACCGTGCCCTCCGCAACCAAGATTTGCGAAGTCAGCGGTAGAATAGGCGTATGGAACGGAGTGGCAAAATCAATCTTTCGGTCCACGGACGCCACGCTTGGGATAGTATCGGGACACTTAAGTGTGTGTTCCCAGCTTGTGCCAAGGATCCTAAATTGGTGGGGCCGCTCACTCTCTGATATGTATATATGATACAAGCATTCTTAACTGGGCTGGGCTGGAAAAAAAATGACGTGCCTATTCTGTCCCCGGATGAGATATCACATGTGCACAAACACAGAGAGATGGTTGTGGCTATGGAATACAAACGTGCCGTGATTCGGCGCGACACTGGGGAGATTGCCTTCCGTATTTTTTTTCTATCATACGGAGAATACTGTAGGGGTAGTGTTACATGATTACTTGCGAAAATGTGGTTGCGTCATGGTGTAGCACTCGATTAGCTTGCGAGGAGGGGAGTGAACAGTCGCTTCACCTGGATAACCACCAGGGGTAACTGATCCCCTGGGCACCTGGAACCTGCTTTATCATCATCAGTTTCGAAAAGGTCACTAGTGCATGAGCTTCTCGGGGAGCTTTCTTTTTTTCACCCGGACCCGATTCCTCGCTAATCAACATCATTCTTCTAGTTTGAACTTTGCCTTTACCCGGGTACGGACATGGCAGGCCAGACAGCCAGGGGATTAGGGAGGCGTGAGCTTACTACCACCGCAGGAAATGAAAGAATGAATTTGGCGTGGAAATTTCTCGGACAAGCAAGAATATTTGAGACCCTAAATGCCTAGCCATCCGGTCACACACGTCCGTACCATATCAAAGTAGGTAGAAAACAAACCGAAACCCCCCTATTGGGGCATCGGGAGGAAGAAAAGAATTGAGAACGTTAAGTAATAGACCAATGGGTGACCTTTTCCGGAATCGGATGTGCTGCCATATGCTCCTCGGGACGTTCATGGCGTATTATTAGCCATGTGGGTATCGATTCTTACCATATCTCTCTTGTCATCATTGATCGGCGCCGAGACCACCGGGACCCCTGGCAAATCTCTGTTTTGTTTTTTTCGTGGCTAAGCACGCATGACTAGGATCATGTGATCTGGAGTGTGTGGAATAAAGGGGAAAAAATAGCTTTGGGATATGTGGTGGACATCTCAACGCGTGGGTTGTCGTACAAATAACCTGAAAACATAATGGTAGAATTTCTGACAAAAAGAATCGAGTTGAACAATGGCCAAGTTACCCACCAGCAACAGCATAGCCGCACATGTTTTGATTTTTTTCGTCATGGTTGGGGTAATCTTGGTGCTGGTTTGTGCCAACCGAGATAAGATAAGAGGTTCGTACTGTTGCATGGTTATGATCGCGAAAGGCTATGAATGCCGCCAGAAGCAGTGTATCATAGCGGACTTGGCGTGGGAGATCCCAAATTTCTTACGCTTACAATACCCATGTCAGGATTGAAGTTGCATTATTGTTGGAGCATTGCCATCAAAAATGGAGCGACTCCAATCCGGCGACTTGGGTAATTTCTGGGGTTATATTTCGGTGTGAGTTCGGCACCTGCTGGAAGATATGGTATGGGAGTGTGTGCACGCTCCTATGGGAAAATGAGTCCTGGCCATGTAAATTAGATTGCGGACGGTTGAAATATTCCGACAGGCTATATCCCCGAGTTACTAACTAGTTAAGTGGATCAGAATAGTACCGTAGATCTAACACACCCAGGGGGTACGAGTACTATACTCCATCTTGTAAAATAACGATGGAGAGAACTCTGGCCTTAGCTATAACTTACTTTCAACCATTCCGTCCGCCACTTCCATCCGTCGGTGTTCTCATTCTTGCTCCCGCAGCCGGTACTTCTCAGGCGCACCAGACAAGATTGTTCCTTCAACCTAGCCCCACCACGGTGCTACTGGACGTCCCCCGGCCGTGCTCCATCGTTCCCGGTCCACAAGGAAGAGATAAGAAATGGACAACATTTCTTATACCATCAATGACTAGGGAACACCTGTCACGCCCTCTCGTACCATTGGTGTGATACAAACATGGGCCTCACACACCCACCCGCAGCACCTCTTGGAAATATTTCCTCAACACTCTTGAAATAGTTATAGGGTGATAGGGGAAAGATTTTTGAAAAGGTATTGGTAAAGTTTTCAAAATAAAAAAAAGATTTGAAGCGAAGCCTGTTCCTCTGGTCGTCGGTATCGATAAAATTGATGTTATATTTCACTAGCATCTTCCGGCTAGCTAAAAAGTGCTGTACTGCCCTCTTGCGTAGCCTTGTGTACACGCTATGGGAATAAAAAAAGTTATGGTATGATATAGTAACTATGAACACCCCTAATCTCCATCAGCCTTGGAAAACCTTCTTGGATTTTAAACCTTTGGCATCTAGGAGCAGAGCCGCGATCCTTGAGGGTTCCTAGGGTCCCGGTGTTGAACTGTTAAAAAGTGTTGGGGGCCGGGCAGGTCCAAGAGATGAGGGGAATCAGGAGCAAAATAATTCGGGCGATTAAGGCGGGAAGGATAGCAGTGACTCGGAGGAGAATTCTGAGTGGAGGAAAATTAACGGGATTCAGCGTGGGGTGTCGGTACGAGTGATCAAGGGTGATAGACCTCGAGGGCAAACGGTGCCTGAAAACCGAGAATGCAAGTCCGTCTATCGCAAAACGATGCTGAATGACTCCTGAGTTTGGATGATTCTTTGATGGAGCTGTTGATCAACCACCTATCCACGCGTCGTGTAATTTGCTAGAAGAAAACTATCATAAGTATCTATTTCTGCATCGAGTTAAGCAGACATCGTAGGAATGGTTATGATACGCTGTAAACTGGCCACAATGCACGTTGCTACAGCGTGTGTACCCTCAAAAACGCACCAAATACTCCTCACACCGAGTGCCCTGCCAGAAAGCCTGGTGTGGCTGTCAGGCTCCTTGCTTCGTCGAGACGAGACTTGTGACTTGGGGGATCGCGGGTTTATCCTCTAGTCCTGCCTAGATTTGTCACGCTATATTCTCCGGGGGGACGCTTATGATGAGAAAACACCCGAATCCGTTACATCTGGCTTGTTGTATTATCTCTTGCCTGCTGCGGCTGCGAAGTATATTCCGGCTGCCGGGATACGCGGTCGAAGTTGGATGTAAAAAAGCTATTTGTGAGGGTGGATCGGACGATAGACGTCGAGGAAATGCTAGAGTAGAGTGGAAATAGCGGGATCCTGTCGGAGATGTTGTAGGATCGTGAATGGCGGTGAGTCTCGACCTGGATCTGGATTCCAAGAATACTGATTGCCCGTCTTAGAACAGGAACGAGCTGGTACTTGGGCCTCACTGGTTTCTCGAAACTCGCGGAAGTACTTACTAGCAGTCGTTCAAGATTCTTCCCTCCCTTCCACATCTTGAGGGATTCCTGGGGTCTGAATCCCAAAGACCATTTCGCCTCTCGCCTCGCCCCGTGTGTATGACTCCCCTGCGTGGTTATCCTGGAAGACGGTTCGTGTTGGTTTTGGCTGGTGTTGGGATAGGCCCGGTGTTATACTGAAGCGCCAATCCATCAGTTGATGATATGCTCGGGCACGAAGGATGCTAGGAACTGTTCTCAATTGCCCGGTCCGGAGGTGTAGGAGGTATGGGAGGATGGATCAAGTCGTATTGTCGGTCTTTGTTGGCACTCTGAAGCCTGCGGCCGCTGACCAAAGTCAGGGGGGATTATACGCCCGGGCTTCTGTTACATTGGGGTAAACACCCACAGTTTCCTACACCCTGGCTGTTCTATACCACCTACCGGTATGGGAAGAGTAATCCTTTCCCTTTAACACAACACTCCATCTGGCAATCTCTCGTGATATGCATTGAGATTATAAACCAGATTAACCTTGAGTTTACGTCCCGGTATATTCCTTCTAATGGTAACTTCTCGGTCCTGGTCTTGTCCCCTGGGGTTGCCATTATCGTAGCTATGGTAGTATGCAAATCCCCGAATTTTATTCCTAGCAATGGGCAAATCATACATTCGACTCCGAGACCAGAGTATCAATAAATTCGCTCCTACCGTTTCTTCCATTCTAGGAAATGGACACAAGCAGGGTTAAACTCATAAAACATCATTTATGCCACCCTCTTGCCCCGATTCTTTCCCGAAGATCCCTTAGTGAAGCCCACAGTTCGCGCACCGACCCTCCAATACCACCGGGTGAGCCGATAGGGTCCACCGTCTGACATAAAGACGAGGATCCCAATACACCGCCGACCTGCATACGCCGTGAGAGGCAGTCAGGTTCTATCCCTTGAGTAACCCTGTGCACTTCTGGGGCCTATTTGAACACTGATTCAACTGGTGTCTTCTGAGAAGAATTGGTCACTACTAAGGAAGGCACGGGCTACCGCTATGGGCTCAATTAGGATTTCGCGTATCTGGGAATGGATGTGCCGATTGTCGGCACTTGGGGTTCGGACATCTCCCGGGGGTAGCGTAGAAGATGGCTGCTTCCGGAGTGGGCGCTGTCTTTGTCAGGATGCAGTGTCTGCAGCCTCTTATACTGTAAGAACCGGAAAAACTAAAACTCGAGCAGGGAAGTTGGAGTTGGCTCTCCCAGTAAGGTCTGCTGTATTTCTCCTATTGTCTGGCGGAGCTGAGGGCTAAAGGCAGGGGTGATTTCCCCTGTGACCCGGGTGGGGAGTGGGAGCGAAATCCTGGAGCTCCCAGAGTGGGGTTCAATTGTTCTAGTTTTTTACTATGACCATCCAGGAAAATACCAGAAGACTCAGAATCCAACTCATCGGCATCCCACATATCGTAAGAGAAGACACCCTTATCACCCTTCCTTATTAAACACCTAGCTGCTGCCGCACTCCCGGGATTAAAAACCTGGCTCAAGCCATTCCCCCGAATCGCGGCAGAAACAGTAGAACGGACCAACATCCCAGTCACTCATACCTCCTTTCCCACTCACTCCCCCCGCTAGGAAAATTTTGAAAGTGTTTTCCAACGCCAAGCGTCGTGTGTTAACGAGGGTTAAGGCCACCCTCTGCCGTCTCCATTGCTTACATGATGGGATAGCCCAGGAATCTGGTGGCGTGATACCCTACCTCGTCTATGGCGATTCCTACTATTTGTATAGACTCTGTTAATAGGGCCTGGTACAGCCTGTCTATATCAAGATCTCGTGAGTGGTAAGGAGGAGGTCTGGGAGGTGCATTTTTGTGGCCTGGTAGAATCGTGGCATCCTCGGGGATGAGGGAGAGGTAAATTAGCAGGGATCCCCAGAGAAAGAAGGACACAGGCAGTGCATCCGGAAAGCGAGGCCTGAGTCCTCCGGACAAATGCTATTTGTATATTGGAAATGAAATGAAGAGTGTAGAGGTTTGCACTACTGGTATACTATTCTCGTGGGGATGGGTAACCCTATGCACAGGAGGAAACTAGAAGGTATAATAACCTACGATCATTTCAGCCCAAGTTATCTGCTTTCCAATGTATCACGGGGTCATACTTTTAACGATCCGGGACCTTCACCTGGGTATAACATCTCAAGCACGACTGCAACACCAAGTTTTATTCCTACCACGCCATGTTTCCTTTTATTAAATCTACCTATCATACAGATCGCAGCCTTGGGTGGCAAAGTAAAAACCACAGGAACAAATAATGATAAATATGGAGAGAGAAAAAAAACCCCCCCCCGTCACAACCCCGTGAGTTATTTCGGACTAGGTTCATGAGTCGGATAATCCCGCGCTAAACAGGTTTAGCGAGACCTCGGCCCGACCCAGGGAAACTAGTGAGGGGAGCTCACCGCTCACCCGCGCCGGCCAGTCAAACTAAGCGATCGAACCGACATGCAGCAAAGTGATGGAGGAATGCGTAGCATTGGACTACTTTTCCTGACGAAAGAAGGTATAAACTAAAATTTGATATAGATGATTCAATATTCCGCGCGAAATACGATTATTCGGAAGAAAACGAGAAAATAGTGATAATAAATCGGTCGCAAGTGGGGATGAAATGAAGTGATAAAGGACGAAAGAGGTTAAAAGGGGAAAAGGAAGGAAGAAAAGCCCCATATACTGACTAGACACCCATAATGCCAGTCGTTCATTGCCGTTGGTTTCTTTCCTCAAACCTTCTGCATGCGATTCCCTGCCAGAAAATAATGGAAAAACGCGCTAACCACCTTCACCCTCCCCCGTCCTCGGCCGAAAGATGGGGTTCCGTGTCCTGGCCCGGCCCGCCCCTTGCCGCGCGGCGGCTGACGCTGCGGCCATAGCGGCGCTTCTGGTGAACGGCCGCTTGGGAGGCGCATAGTCCTCATCCTGAACGTCATCGTCCACCTCGATAATACCAACTCCCAGAGCAGCAGAGCCTCCATCACTACTGGCCTCCGGGCCTCCTAAACTCGTAGAACCAATCGCCCCAACAACGCTCTCCACGGTCCCCCGTCGTGGTCGGCCGACGACGCCGTCATCATCATCATCCCTCCCTGTGGAGGTGGCGGAGGGCGGGGACTGTCGTGAGAGCGGCGAAGGGAGCGGTAGTCCGTTGGCTTTCGCTAATTCCCGCGACTTGTGGAACTCGTCTAGGTTCGTGTTTATGCGCACTGAGCAGGATTCGCAGGCGAGGTAGCCGCATTTCTCGAGTATGCAACGGTAGGGGTGTGACATTGTTTTCGAGCAATGGTTGCAATAGCGGTTCAGGAGGGAGGGTTGGAAGACGAAGAAGTGGCCGCCCTGTGTGCGGCAGTCATACATTTTTTGCTTTTGCGTGGATGACTGAGTGATAAATGGAGGGTATGGAGGGAGGAGGGGGGAGGTGGTGGTGGTGGTGGTAGTGGTGGTAGTGGTAATGGAGGTGGAGAGGAGGGAGGTGGAGAAAAGTAGGGAAGGGAGGAAGGGAGGAGGAATGGGACACGAGAGAATTCAAACCTGGAAGCGATGTTGGTTGTTGTTGGGGAAGGTGTATCCAGGGAGGCCGATCTCTCGCTCTTCTACCTATGATACCGTTTTTCACAGCCCTTTCCCCCCCCTCTACCCTTCCCCTTCCCCCCTACTTGGACCACCCTCCCCGCCGCCCTCTCGTCCAATTAGGTAATGCTCAATGGACGAGTCGGAAGGAAAAACGATACTCCGGATTCCCGATCGCGGGTGGCTTGTTCGCAGGGATATGAATAAACTAAACTGGTCAGAGCGCACCCAATCGTGGTGAAGGGGCATCCCCCAAGCCACATTTCGAGGATTGTCGCTGACCATCGGGGATATTCAGGGCAGAGCCAACAGCTAATTTAATTTGCCTACTCCCTTAGTTGGGCATGCTCAGATTGAGCTGTCTACGAAACGTACCGGCATTCCCCCGGAGAAGGATTGACCGGCGGCTTGTAGCTTCCGAAATTCGAGCACGGTCGGCTGAGCTGAAAGCAAGAGGCATAAATACCGGTAGAACCGTTGTGCTGGGGCCGTATTGGGGAGGGTCAGTACGGTATGTACTCGTACTGTATTGGTCGCGTGAAAGGTTCAGTGCTCGATGATACGATCTCATGATACGCCAGGTGCAGGGTATATCTCCCAGCGCAGCATGCATCGAAATTATCCACGAATCTTTGCCAGCTGCTCAACAGTTGCCTGTGCGATAGTCCCTCCACCCTCGATTTGCAAAGGGATCCGGAAATCTGGCGAACGGCTCGGCAGAACGAGCGGCACTAGGATATTTCATTCATTTTTTTTTAATTTTTTTTTACATGTCCCTCGCGGAGAGCGGATAAAATTGTGCCAACCCTCTAGCAATATTCTTCGGGCGGCTATTTTTTTTTTCTTTCCTCGAATTTCCTTTCACTTCATTGACTATTTCCCCGGCAGTGCGATGGTGGGACGGACGTACGCCAAGTCAAGGCTAAGTTGGGCTACCGCATTACTTTTGAACCTTGTGTGCACTGCGACTACAGTATCATAGCAGTACGAGTACTCGAGTACAATCATGCTCTGATGCGCGTGGGTTTTGTCGGTTGACAGCTCCGGCAGCAGAAGCCTATGGGTTAGGGTTGAACTTTGAGCCGCAACGCGCTCGCCCCTTGGCTATCTATCGTTCGTACTCGTAGAAACAGCACGCTTGATAATGAGAAATCGTCCCGCATTACACCCTTGTCTGAGATACTATTTTTCCAACTCACTTCTTGACGGAAGTCTCCCCCTCCTCCTCCTCGCATTTGCTCCCAGGATATTGCCGTCTCGGCGTGAGGATACATACATACTTAGAATCATAGAAGACCCAGCCGGCCGCCATGGTTAGGCGGGGGGGTGGGTCAGGAATACTGGTGTTGATGGATTGGGCCTCCCTCAGCCCTTTTTAGAGAGAGTGATTATTCCGCGGATCGATTAGTTGAGTAGTGGGGGCCAATTAAGGGCGCGGAGAAATAGTCACATGAGCAGCTACTGGAGGGAGGTGGAGGGGCGGGAATGAAGATTTTGGTCATGCTGATTCTTCGAGAGACTCACGAGTGCTGGGAGCGAACTACCGGTAGGTCCGCGGTTGTGGGAGTATTAGCCTGTCTACCTGAATGATATTAAATTATGACTGGGGGGAAAGCAATGTCGGCTGCGGTATGATACGGGGACCAACCAATGGCTACCTGAATCACCGCTATATAGTTTTGTTGCAGGGGCGGGATTATCCAGTGAACCCGCGATTGGTGGCTTTTTTTTTCCATGGACGAAGAATATGCACGTTCAGCAGCCCGGGCGTCAACCAAGTACTTTGTGGCACTAGAGTACAGTACGATAGTTCCGTGCTAGGGTCGCTTGGTCGCTTGAACGCCAGCAAAGCGATTTTTCACCCTAGCCGCGAGCGCTTTGACATCTGGTATGCCGAGGAAGTGACACGTCCTGTTCCTGCCCCCCTAAGTTCCCATCACAATAACGCAACAAGAATAAGGTACGATGCTCTAGTGCCGAGGGAGATCATTTTTCTCCCCACGGCTTATTCCGTCCTCAAATGGCAACCTGTCGGCGTCGGCAACGTCTTGACTAGTTGCCAGAGTCTGGCTCACACGGGTTGAACCACGGAACACAACGCCTAGGATACTGGAGGAAGCACTGTATGGCTATTGCCTGGTGTCCTACGGCCGGTGTGCTAATAATAATAGGAATTGTGACTTCGGTCTCGCGTCTCTTGTTGACTGGAGCTCGGCTTGGAAGATTGGATATGGAATGGAAAAGCTTGGGCCAACAAGCAACACCTAACCAAGCTCATCCTACCCTCTCGCGTTGACAAAGGGGGCTAGTTCCTGAGAGTTGGCAGAAAAACGGTATACCGCAAAGGGACTCCTGGCGTGCATGGCGCCAGATCGGACTGATCCAACTTTAATTCTGGTTGATGTTGGCTGTTACATAGCGTATGCCCGTAACGAGCGGTAGGAATCGTACCGACCCCTCACCGTACTCGCCAATTCCAAAAGTACCGGTATCGTATCCAGAAATCTACTCGCCAAGCCCCTGAAAACTGCAACCCAAATCATCTCGTGCTGTACGAGTACAGTGCTCCTCCTGTGCCTCCTAACCAGAATGCCGGGTTGGTGACACGCCGTGATAATCGTGTTGGCCCGTGTAGGCTGCTGGCGCGATCGGACATGCGCGGCTGAGCATCCCCCCCCACCCACGTTTCAACGGATTCTCGCGGGATTTTAGAGCGAGTGACAGGGGGTGATATGCTGGTTGTTTGATGTATCCTTTTAACATATCCTCGGGATGTCCGTATACAGCAGACAGCGTGCCAGGGGGGGGTTTATGGGAACTCTCTATGCCCCTGACGCTCGTTGGGGTTCGTGAGGGAGGAGTACCGTATGCGATGCGATTGTTGAAATTCGGTTATTTGGGAGCTCCCGCCTGCCTGCGCTTAATCGCGGGGGGGTAGGTACTGTGCTACGGTGTACAGTGCAAAAGGTGGGAACGAGTGCTGCAATACTATCGCGGGTGAACGGAATGTTTCAACATCAGTGGCTGAGCCGATCCAGAATTGGTGGTTGTAATAACCATTTAGAACATGATAAGCGGGAGTACTATTTTCAGGGTTATGCTCTCGGAGCACCTACTGGTACCATACCTTGGAAAGTCGAGATTTGAGGCTTCGCAGGTCAGCACTGGTTTTTGTAATACTTTCTGAGGACGCTATCGCCCTGATTCGGGGAAGGTTGTTAACTTCTCGCAATTCTGATGTTATTTGGCTGAAATTTCGGGACAATGTTATTTTGCTATTACTCTAACTTGGAATTAACTTGTGGCTTGTCCCGTTTCCCCTTTTTGATTTCGTCGTGCTTTTGTCTACCCATGAGTCTCGGGAATGCGGGCCCTTGGTTCCTCTGGATATGAGATTGTTTGGCTTAATGTTTCACAGCTCGAAAAGAATTGGTTTGAAAATTGTATTGTATTGAATCCTGTAATGTCTTTTTTGTATTGTTGTACAAGTCTGTTGATTAATTATCATTGAGAGGCTATCAGGGTCAGAGGCAGCAGTGTTGCTAATTGTTATGGACGAGCAACGCGGAGATGGGGAGCCGTGCCATGGCACTTCCGCCCGCCTCTTGTGCAGGTTTGTATAGTAGGAGCAGTGTGAGAGGAGTGGGAACGGCTGCGATTATACTTTACGTCTTGGAGGTTAAATTTAAGGGGGGTTAGACGGGATTATGGCTTATTCTCTGCCGTTGACTACGCCATCAAATAACGCTCCAAACTGGTTCGATCAGCGGGGTGTCTTAGTGCTCTCATACTAGACAAGCATACTATAGCAGTGGTGATTGGGAAAGAAACATATATTTTGGAGACTACAAAATCTGATTTTAAGGCTCTTAACCAAGTCTGGGAATATGGAATTGATATCAGGCTGGTCTCTCAGTGCAAGATATTTTCTAATTTTAGATATAACATGGCTTTGTACTTATCTGGTACTTCACAATATATAAATTAAAAATAAATATTTTCTATGCCAAAGACCCCAATGTCATGAATGCAAAGATGGCTTCGAACTAGAAACTGGAGTACTCTGCCATGATTTACTAGGATGGGATTACTTGCTATGCTGTACTTAGATATGAGACTACCATGGCATTGTCTATATAGGTACTAACAGAACTTGAATCTAGTACTAATGGCGTATATGCAATGTAAAACCCCTGTGCTTAGTGAGCTGCCATAATGTTTTCTATAGGATCAGGCCTGATCAAGCAAGAGAAGACAGGCCTAGTACAATTAGAAATGGTAGAAGCTTTTAGCTTCAAAAGTTAATATCTGTAAATAAAGAAAGAAATTAAGGAACAAGACAATTAGTAGAGAAATAAATTGATCTAAATGTGCTAGGAGTATGGTAGCATCAGAAGTCACACCTGTATTATGTAATCAATTGTCTTGCTGCACAGGCCTTGTTTGCTAGGAGGGTCTTTAGCAAATATGATAGTGATTGGTGGTCAAATTACTGTGACTGTTAAGAATGCTAGCGGGGGGGAGGAGCAACAGGTAACAATTCTCATTACTTGGTAAGGTAATTGTTCTTAGGCTATTGCCTATGCAAGATAAGTAGTCAAGTCATTTGACTCGTATTGACTTGTACCTATTCCTTGATCATTATCAAGTCTTTGCTTAGCCCTTGATTATGGGTCATGGGATGAGAGATAATTTTCTTGTTTCTTAAAGTATGAGAGAGAGTGTAAATATATTTTATTGTAAAATAATAAGGGTAGGTGTAACCAGAACTGGAGTTCAGTCCATTC